CATTTTCCAATGTGCCTTCTTTTGTGTACTACTTAGCTTGGAAACGCTTTTTGCGTTATGAGACTAGTAGGTGCTTACTATCTCATAATGCTTCTCTAGGGAATTCGTTTAGTCCATAACGTGTATTTTCTCCTAGTCAAGCTTTTCTTATGCTTAAACCTTACAAATGGGGCATAAATAGCTTTAGTATATATTGCTTTGTAACGTAGTGAAAGGGGTTTCAATGCTTAGAGTTACACCTCCGTCACCGTTTCCTCGAAATCAGCATTTGTGGCCAGCAAGATCGTTTTCTGTTAACGGAAATAACTTGACTTGAGTCCCAACAAAATAATTGTTGAGTTTTCTAGGGTTCCTAATCAATCAAGCGTATATAGAGGGCATGGATCGTCCATCAAAGTTTTGGAACTTGTACGGACCTCCACCAAAGAAAAATAGCACCTTGGTTCACAGGGTTCTCATCTCACAAAGTTGTATGACTTTTTAAAACAGAGGTAACGACTATCACATTTGATAGTGCTTCTGCAAACAATAGTATGCAAACTATTCATCTTTAGAGTGGTAATGGGTTGTTATGAGATGGAAATTTTTGATAGTACAAGTGTTCGGAGAATATTCGAGATAGTGTGAACTTTGTAACATGCATTGAGAATGTAGGGATCAAAAGTGGAGTTGGGTTATTTCTTGATGTCGCTACTTGTTGGAACTCAAGATATGAGATACTTGCTAGAGCCTTGGAATTTAGAAAAGCATTTGTTATTTTGAATTTGTATGAGAGTTATAATGCCTACATAAGAAAAGTGATCGTGGAGAGGAAATTTTGTGACCTCTTGAAACCTTCGAATAAGATCACAACTTATTTTTCCGAAGTGAGATATTTTACACAGCTAATGTTTATTTAATTCAAGTGTGGAAAATTGAGTTGTTGCTGAAGAAAAATGTTAATTGTGATGATGTTCATGTTAGTACATTGGTTCAAATTCAAAGGATGCAAAAGAAGTTTGCAAAATATTGGACTCAATACAATGTTATTTTAGCAATAGGACCAATGTGGGAAAATTTTGATTGCGCTTTTTGAATAATATAACTCTTATTCTGTAAGTTCTTCCAAGTCTTCAACAAAACTAACTCCACATGAACTTCTAACTGAATTGCCACTTGAAGATGATGTTAATGATGTAAGTACAATACTATATTTCAATATCTCTTTTTCAGTGAACCACTACTTAAAGAACGAAGTATTAATTTTAATGTGTATTTTGTATGTCACAGGGTCTCTTTGAGCTTGAAAGTAGCCTCAATTCTGGTTCAAGAAATATTTAGTTAACTTTGAAAATCTATTTGGAAGATGAACCGCGCCAAGAGATGAAGACTAGTTTTTTTTTTTTTGTCAACAACAACTATAGATTAGCTCAAGATAGCCAATTGGGGGGGGGGAATCGTTTACAAACTTAACAAGATGCGGAATGGTACAAAATTTTCGTGCCAAAATATCCGCTTTTAGATTTGCATTTTGTGACATTAAGGATAAAGAAAATGATGAGAATTCTTCCCTATCAATTTTAACAGATAAGGCTGGCCATTCGTCAGGAGAAGACACCATCTTAAGCAAGTCAGAACAATCCGTACGAAAGTTGTGGCCAATCATGCACCTCATTGCCCATAACAACGCTTCTACTTCCGTGTGGAGTGGAGAGAAGCTTCGTTGGAGGTTTGATGCACCCATGGTCGTCCTTAATTATACTCTGTGAATGTTGACAAAACCATCACTTGCCTGAAAACCCATAAGTTGCCTTCCAAAAGCCATCCACAAAACACCGATAATCATTAAAAAAGCTGTGTCCAAAGACTCCGATCTTCCTTGGCCCCTAGTAGACCTTACGGGGTTAGGCAAAGATTGGTCTACACCATCAACTTGAGCATGTAGCCAAGACCTGGCTTCGTCCTCAGCTAATTTGGTTACATGTAGTGGACATTCGTCTATACTCTCAAATATTTTGGCATTTCTAGCCTTCCAAGTATACCACATTATCCATGGGAAATTAACGTCTGGGCTCACCTTTGAGATTAGGCAAAAAAGATAAGCCATATTAGCATATACAAAATCCGTTTAAAAAGAATTAGGACCCGCAGGTATATTGGCTAAAGCCCAGGATTGCTGCGTTGGAGACATTCAAATAGTGTATGATTAACCATTTCCGACTGGTCTCCACATCTAGCGCACCTAGAGTCACAATTTATTCCCCGTCGTCTCAGTTTTTTTAGACATCAAAATTTTAAATTTTTGGAAAGTGATTTAGCTTTCATGGCGGCTTATTTTCTTAGCATTCCGATCACCACTATAGCATCAGAGTCAGCTTCTAGCATTGTTAAATTTCTTTAGGAATCACCTTCTTCCCAAAAATGTGCAAGCATTGATTTTCACTCTCAATTGGTTACATGGATTGCATATCTTGAGGATAATTTGTTTTTACTATTAGATTATTAACTAATATTAATCATTTTTGAACTAAAATATTATTAAAATATAGGAGATATTCAAGATATTTTTGATGATAAAGATGATGATGCAACAAAGATAGCAAGTACAGTGCCGGCCCTGTCACATATGTGGCCCAATACAATATAATTTTTTTAATAGGTTTTATAGATAAAGTTTAAAAGTTGAAACGAGAGCTTAAAATTTCATTTTTGAAACAATAAATAGATAAAATTTAGACATGGAGAACATAGTTTAAATTTTGTAAAATATGGGGCTTAATTTTGAAAAACCAAAATATTTTTTGGGGCCTATTTTCTTACTAAAAATGTCAAAAAAATTTGGACGCCCAATACTAATGTTTCATTTTTGCCATCTCTTAATTTTGAATGACCATTTTACCCCTATTTTAAAATTAATTAGGTCAACAAAATAAAACTGAATTATTCTCGCCAAAAATATTACCGCCAAACAAATTCCGACAAAATTTTTGAAAGATTTACTAGAGTTTTTAAAGGTTTGAATGACATTTAAAAGATTTTAAAGGGTTATAGAAATATTTACAAGTTTTTAAAAGGTTTAAGGAATTGCGGAAAATTATGGCGGGGAAAGTTTTGTTGGAAATTTTTGGCGGGAAAATTTGGCGTGAATTTTTCGGAAAGAATATTCCTTTTGTTGGAATGAATATTTCTTTTCTTTATTATGGGTTCTACGAAAATAGAGTACTTTAGTCATTGCGTAATTAGAAGAGGGTATTTTTGAACATGGACACCAAGGGTGGGTAATCTACAAAAGGGTACCTAAAAATATTATTTTTGCAAATCCCCCTATGTATAATGATATTTATGTATGTGATGTTTTAGTGTTTACATTTAATAATTAAATACAAAATTTCTAAAATTATTTTAAAGTGTCTGTTGAAAAGTATTTTTCTTAAATCGATTTGTTCGGACATGAACCGATATACAACTATTGGGCCATGCCGATTGTGGATTGGATTGAGTATATGCAGACCGGACTCTATATCATATTAGATTGTACACTTCCAACTCAAAATCAATTGAACATGTTTATTTTGAGTTTTTTTTTTAGTTTTTTCTGGTTATTTGGGCAGTTGCCTATGTTATCTCTTTGGGATGCGATGCCATTTTTGGGTAAGTATACGGATGGAGTCTCCCTGTTGTCTGACCATTTTTACTATAATAAAATTATGGCAAGGCCCGATTACAACTAATATACCATTATAACGACAATGAGTTCATAAGTCTTTTTGTAATAGTCTATTTCAACTTGAAGCAAATGTTTTAACGGTATTACCTGGACACAGAGAAGAGGTTGACAAAGAAGAATCCAAAAAAAGTCAACGTTAGTTTTGCTTCTCTCCTGAGAACTTATGCATATATATCAACACTAAACCGTTGAGCTAAGAAAATTTTTATGAAAAAAGGACCAAAAATCATATTTAATATAACGGGGCGCAAGCCGATGCTTGGCTTGCTTGGCCTCTTCAACGGCTCTTGGTGTCACATGAACAAGTTACTTAATATATCTAATTTGGAAAAAACAAAAGTACAGTATAACACATAGATAAAACTTGACAACATAAGAGAATTTAAGGCTCAAAAGAATTACATAGATAGCAAATACTCAACGTCGTAGTGTTACAAATTTCTTCAAGATATTACTTATTGAAGTTTCACTTAAGAAGCCTCACGATATGCATACATGCATGGTCCGTACAGAGAGCATATGGAAATGAAGCTATCACTTAGGGCATCACGGTTCATATGCTTCTTTTGAAGTCATGTAATAACAAAAAGGGGAAATTTGGGTAAAGAAACATACATATGTCGTCTATGAATTGTCCAATAAGTAGTGGCATCACATAGAACTTTACCTAATCTATTAGAGTTCCAAAGTCCCACATTGTTTGGAATTAAGATCTTTGGGCAATATATGCAGGATGTGGTTATCTTTCTCCATTAAGCTGGCTTTTGGTATTAGTTAGGTCACATTACTAATATGATATCAGCGCCTATGGTAAGGCCCAACAAACAATTTCCCACAAAAATGGCTTTCCCACATATGTGGCCCCATATAAGTGGCATGTCTTGTTGTGGTATTTCCGAGATATTGGGTTCAGATTTTACGATATCGATTTTACAAAAACTAAAACGTATGTAATTCAGTTTGGTTACAGTTTTATAAATTTTGATCTATGAAGGTTATTAATGATAGATTTATGTATCAAAATGTATCTCCTAGCTTGCTTCATCTACATATTCAATTTGTATACGTGAGAGAGAGGATGCTGGAACCGTGGAGGTTTTGAGAAGCCCTAAAAAAAGAAATCATTTATTGGATACATATGGACTTTGCCAATATTAATTAAGATGACAAATATAGATGATTCCTTCTTTATCGGTGTTCCATCAAATAATCTCTCAACTTTTTCTGTCTCTCTCTCGTTCTCTTGCCAAAACTCAAAATCTCTTGTCAGTTTCTTACAAAACATATAGGAAACGTTAAACTAACTCATCTTTTCCAACAGAGAAAAGATCAATATTTTGGCTAAACTAAACTCTTATGCAAGATAATAAGAGCAAAGGGTTTATATCATTCTTTTAGGTTATTAGGTTTCTTTTTTTAAAAAACTTTTGAACCCTTTGAGGATTGTAATAAAAATGTTATCGTTTCGAATGCCATCTATCGGAAGCAATCCTACCGCATTTGCTGCAAAAATAACGGACAGCCCCAAGACCGTGGCGCAGCTCAAGTCAGCTGCGACACCTTCGCCTCATAGCACTGTCACGTGTGGTTACCAAGCTCACGTGGCCGGCTACTTTCGAAACGTTACAGTTTTATGGTCCAAGAATCTCATGAATCATTCTCTTACCGTCATGGTTTCGAGTTTGGACAATGACATGAATTATTGTTGTAAGATTGATCTTGTGAAGCCATGGCAGTTTTGGAGCAAAAGAGGGTCAAAGTCGTTTGACGTTGAGGGAAACTTTGTGGAGGTCTTTTGGGATCTTCGGTCAGCAAAATTGGCTGGAAATGGTAGCCCTGAACCTGTGTCAGATTATTATGTGGCAATAGTTTCTGATGAAGAGGTTGTTTTATTATTGGGGGATTTAAAGCAAAAGGCATACAAGCGGACAAAGTCAAGACCCGCATTGGTGGAAGGGTTCATATACTTTAAAAAGGAAAGCATTTTCGGGAAGAAAAGTTTTTCGACTCGGGCTAGATTCGACGAGCAAAGAAAGGAGCATGAAGTGGTTGTTGAGAGCTCTAATGGAGCGGCCGAGCCAGAGATGTGGATAAGCGTGGACGGGATTGTGGTTGTGCATGTGAAGAATCTACAATGGAAATTTAGAGGTAATCAAATGGTGTTGGTGGATAGGACACCAATAATGGTCTACTATGATGTTCATGATTGGTTGTTTGCAACTTCGGAGACTACGGCAACTTCAGGGTTGTTTTTGTTTAAGCCTGTCGCGGTCGGATCGATGGTAGATGAGTGTTATAGCGATGAGGAGGAAGGGGATAGCGCAGGAGGGAGTAGTCCTTTGAGTCGTTACAATTCAGCATCAAGTGGTTATGGACCGTTACATGACTTTTGTTTGTTTCTTTATGCTTGGAAACTTGAATGAAGAATAATATTTTACCATAGTGTGGTTTCAAATTTAAATATCTTTTGGTAAGTTGAAATAGAAATGACTAAATGAGGTTAAACTTATAGTATATATTAGGATCTTTTATTTTAGCTTAGAATGCATGATTTTTAGATAGGTAAAATTGGATTTTGAATTTTGACAATTGTTATCGCACATAGAAATTGAACTTAGATCTCATTCAATTTTTTAAAAAAACTTTAAAATGTCATAAGTAGCGACTAAATCAACAATTTTGGCTATTTGGCTTTTCAAATCTCATAACTAAACGATGGCTTTTGAGTTAGAGTGGTCATAAGATATTTGTAGCAATAGGGAAAAAATCCTATTGGTCATGATCAGTTAATAAAATTGTACATATGGCGTATGACTCAACATAGTTGATTGGCACAATTTCGGTCAATGTTGTTTTTGACAAAAAGTTGATAGTTTATTTGAAAAATAATTTAATTCGGGTAAAAGTTGACACTATGTCAAAATTGAAGTAGAAATATATGCATTTTCGAAATTATTCAGATTGCAAATGGTCCTTTACCCGACATATTAGACTCAACATCGTATCATCGCTCTCATCATTATTCAAACTCTTGCAGTCCACTGCTCAAAATTTGAGAAACAGAAATTTGGATGTCATTTAAAAATTGGAGTCAGTATATGTAAATCTATGGTTTGAATAAATAACAATCTGACTATGAAGGCTTACATCAAAATTTCCATGTTCATTTCTGGGAGTTCTTCATTTAGAACTATTTTAGAACATCCATACTGAGAAATTACACATTTTTCACCTATTTGCAATGTCAACATTAAGTTATTTTATTAACATGAGAAACAAATAGTCGTCGGGCAAATATTCTAAATGAAATTAAAACTACACATTCAAACTCGAGATCCTCGAGAAACATAGAACACACATAATGGACTCATATCATATTATGGGTTTTGAACAATATTATCCCCAATTCGTTTACAAATTCTTTCTCGGATTTCCCGACGGCGACACAGGCTTATAAAGATCATAAATGTTAAACACATATATCATTACACGATCACTTTCATAATATAACAGAATTTTGATGTATTAATGCTATTGATTGTATAACTATGAGCTTTGTCTATATGTGATTGTGTAAACGTGGGTTTTAACTAAATTTTGATCAAGTAAAAAAAAATTAGGTGTAGCACTATTCAGATATTTCAGTCGGGTTGTAATTAGCTACACTGAACCGACCCGCTTTATAAGAGTAGTTTTAAATAAATTAATGTGACAAACAATTCATACCTTTTATATTTAACAAATAGTAGAAAAACGCCACGTATGTATTATTATTAAATTGACAAATATTAAATAGTTAGTTCAGTCTCAGTGGTGAATCATTTTATTCACTTCCTCTTATTTATCCAATCAAAACCTGCCATCTAATAAAAACTAATGAAATAAAAATTTAATATTATCTATACAAAAACTAGTCCTGGGTATTCGGGTACTCGGTTCGGGTTCGGGTAAAAACCGTTCGGGTTCGGGTTTCTCGGGTAGAGGAGTTTAGGACCCAATAGGGTAAACATAAAAATTCGGTTCGGTTTCGGTTCGGGTCCATTCGGGTTCGGGTCGGTTCGGGTATACATTTTCAGAACCGTTAAAAATCAGAGAATTTTTCGGGTACACAAATACCCGAAAATTTACCCGAATACCCGAAAATTTTCGGGTAAATTTTCGGATTTTCGGACAAATACCCAAAATTTTGGGTAAATACCCAGATTTTTGGATAAAAATTCAGAATTTTTTTTAATAATTATTGGGATTTTCGGGTAAAAATTGGAATTTCGGGTATAAATTCGGATATTTGAATAGATAACTCGGGTATTCGGGTCCTAAATTATTTAAATACATTTATATTTCGGGTATTTTCGGGTTCGGGTTCGGGTTTTCGTGTAGAGGAGTTGAGGACCCAATAGGGTAAATCTAAAATTTCGGGTTCGGATTCGGGTCTAATTTTTCGGATCGGTTCCGGTTCGAATTTTCGGTTCCGGTTTTTTTGCCCAGGCCTAACAAAAACTAATATTATATCATTGAGTTTTGACTTTACAAAATTATATATAGGTTTATGTTTATTAAGATATATTTTTTTATTAAGATCTTCATAGAGTATAGCTTTTACAAACTAAACAAAAATTATAAAAAAAAAGTTTGAGTTTAAATTTTATAACAAAATGAAATTTTATGTCAATTTAGGATTATAAAGAAAAATAGAATTTATTTTTTCTAATTAATTATTTTATATATCAGTTTAAATTTATCAATAAAAACTAAAATAGAAACTACAATTTAATGAGATTATATATAAAATTTATTTTAAAAAAAGTTAGAGTTTATAAAATTAGTCAATGAATGAATTAAAAAAAAAAATCTTTAAAACATTTTACACTAGCATTAGTGACTGTCGAGTGTACACATATTTCAAACAAAAGTTTCCAACTTTTACTTGTCAAACTAATAAAAAATTATATATATATGTGTAAGAGTGGACACCGACCTTTCGTGTCAGTGTTACAGATTTCACAAAAAATATCTTTCTTGTGTAGACGTTTCTTCTTTACTTGCCACCAGATATTATATATATATTTTTTTTGGTCTTTACACCTAAAAAAAAATACAAAATATCTTCTCTTTTAGGCAAAGATATTTTTATTTTTCTTCATATCATTCACATTCATGTGCATGTACAAAGATATTTTGGTTTGTCGTAAAGGTCAAACCAACAACACAAAGGCTCTTATGTTGTGTGATTGGGCTTAAAGCATCTCTAAAACAAAGACACTTTTGAGAATCAAAGAAACCACTTGTACATAAACTCTTTCCTTCCATACATACACGTGAGCCGAGTTGGGTCTTTTGATTATTTCCTAAAATATCTGTTAGGATCCTTAGTATTTTGCACTTTTTATACTTTTTACCCAAATGTTTCTAGAATTATCAGCTTATGTCACATGTCCCCTTTGCTTTGCTTACATGTCCCTTTGCAGACACGACCCACCCATTGTCTATCCATCTACACATTTCTTTCTTCTTCTTCTTCTTACCCTTTTTCATACGCAGCTCAAGTTTGTGGAATCATTGCTCAAAGTTTCTTCCTTTTCAGAATCTTTTGTTTTGTTTCTGCTTCTGACGATTATCTCTACGATCTCTCTCTCTTCTCCTACGTGAGTCTTGATTGTGTTTTAAACCCTTATTTGAATAAGGGTTGCTTTGATTTTTTATTCTTTTGGCTGATCTTGAAATGGATCTTCTTTCTTTGCTCTGATTTGGTACTTGTTGATCTGAAATTTGAAGTCTTTATGTGATTTTGATATGTTTCTCTGATCTCTTGGTTGATTGGTTTTGATTTCTAGCAATCTCTACTTATAAATCTACAATCTTTAATCTGTAAATGTTCGAAAGATTTGATCTTTATAGATTTCTCGACTTGCTTTTTATACCAAGTTTCTAGATTTTGTTAGTTATATAATTTACTGTTGCAATATTATGATATAAATGGACTAACCAAAAGGTTTTGATTCTTGATTAGTGAAAGGAGCTTGCTTTCTTCAGTTCAGTGGTGAAGGTTGAGCCAAAAACATTGAGATTGGTTCAGTTTTTAAAGATGGGTTATATGTGTGACTTCTGTGGTGAGCAAAGATCAATGGTGTATTGTCGATCTGATGCAGCGTGTTTGTGTCTTTCTTGTGACCGTAATGTTCATTCTGCTAATGCTTTATCGAAACGTCATTCGCGGACTTTGATATGTGAGAGGTGTAATGCACAGCCTGCATCTGTTCGGTGTAGCGATGAGAGGGTTTCTCTATGTCAAAACTGTGATTGGGTTGGCCATGACGGGGCAAACTCTACTACTACTTCACATCATAAAAGGCAAACCATTAACTGTTATTCTGGTTGCCCTTCGAGTTCTGAACTTTCCTCGATATGGTCTTTCTGTTTGGATTTGAATATGTCTTCTGCTGGAGAGTCTGCGTGTGAACAAGGAATGGGTTTGATGACTATTGATGAAGTCCCTGGAGACAAATCATGTGTCCAAAATGTCAATGTAGATAAGCCTGGAACTAGTTCTGCTGCACAAGGTATGGATCGCTCTAGTGTTCCAGAAAATACATCATTGGCTAAGGTACTTTTGACATGATTTTCTTCGTATTCTCGTAGAATTTTTAACGCGACTGGCGTCTAAATGTTTCTTGTTATTGTATTGGTTTTAGGAGGTTGGAGTATGTGAAGATGACTTTAATGGAAATCTCAATATGGAAGAAGTCGACATGGCTCTTGAGAACTATGAAGAACTCTTTGGTGCAGCCTTCAACTCATCGAGATATCTCTTTGAACACGGTGGAATCGGAAGTCTGTTTGACAAAGATGAACCTCCCGAGGTTCTTTCAAGTTTTCAACCTTCTTCTTTTATCAAAGACTAGTATCACTAAACTTACAGATGAGTTTTTTAATGTGATCCTTATGCTCTCTTGTATTTTTCTCAATTCAGGGCTCAATCCAAGGAAACTCAATGCAGCAGCCAGCCATGAGTAATAATGCATCTGCAGATGATTCGTTCATGACTTGTAGAACCGAACCAATAATTTGCTATTCATCAAAGCCAGCTCATTCGAATATCTCCTTCTCTGGTGTCACTGGAGAAAGTAATGCTGGAGATTTCCAAGATTGTGGGGCATCAGCGATGAAGCAGCTTTCAAATGAGCCACAAGCATGGTGCCCTCCAACATCACAGGAAATAATTGCGTCGTCACATGCAACAACACGTAACAACGCTGTTATGCGTTACAAGGAAAAGAAGAAGGCTCGCAAGTAAGTATAAACCACAAGAAAAAGGAACTTTTATTCCTCATTCATCAGTGAAGGTTATGATTGCTAATCCTGTACATAATGTTGTATTAATAGGTTTGACAAGCGAGTGAGGTACGTCTCTAGGAAAGAAAGAGCTGATGTAAGACGGCGTGTGAAAGGACGGTTTGTTAAGTCGGGTGAAGCTTATGACTACGACCCGATGAGCCCAGCAAGAAGCTACTGAGGATACCACGAAACCCCTGAGACAATGAAGAGTCAAAAAGTGGAGATCTCAGACAAACAGATGTAACTAATTGGCAGTGAGTGAGGCATTTTGCAGTGGTTAATCCGGTGGAAAGGCCAATATTGGTTGATTAGGAACATGAGTTTTCGACCGAAAAAGAAAAGCTTCATTGTTGCTTAGAAGCCATGCTTCTGCCTCTTTTTGCATAAGTTTGTTATCTCCTTCTGTCATTTGGCTGCTTCAGCATGACCTGACGACAGTAGTGAAAACTCTTCTACAAATTGAGGTTCATGATCCTTCAATTTTGTTCTATTGTAATTTGTGTAGCCAAGGCAAAACAAGGAATGTGTATATTTTTTTTATGTCATAAATATTATTGTAGAAGATTATAGTATGATAAAGTATTGTTTGATGATACTAACAAGTGCATTTTCGAAAAACTTAACCACAACAAATGACAACTTTTTGATAACATTTCACTATCAAAAAACTTAGTTCATTCATATAATTATATTGATCAGACAAAAATGCTTGCATTACAAAGACAAAATTAGGGTTTGCTACTACTTTAAGCTCTTCAGTCTTCATAACTTTCATCTCCTGACAAACCTGCAAAATCATCTCCCTCGCTTGTTTCCTGCAGACAATTCAATTTCAAGTCTTCAGATCAGAGTATATATCAGCATGGTGGTGGTTCCAGTTTTGTGGATAAAGAATGAAAGAGATACCTGTTTCTTGTCCCAGTCCTTCAGCTTTGGATTAGCTAACATGTAATTATCACGTAGAGGAGCCCAAGCAGGAGCTTCATCATCATTTGAGGATTTCTCAGCCTGCAACATCCGACAGAATCTCAGTAGTGATTAACCAAGGTTACATTTGATTTATAACTAACAGCTATTACAAAGAAGCCAGATCAAAACAAAATACCAACTTGCTTATACGTTTATCCAAATTTGAAAGCTTTATAAACACTAAAAATTGCCACTAGTAATTTACCAAGGATACTTTTGATTTATTACTAACAGTGATCACGCATGAAGGTGATTTGTTCCATTACTCTCTTTGTACGAGCCAGCTCAAGACAGAATACTAACTAACTTATACGTTCATCCAACAGCGAATGTTAAAGACTCGAGAGAAAGCATAATAATGGAGGAGAGAGTGAGAGAGACATGGAGACTATGCCAAACCTTAGTGTCTGGTTTTGTTTTCCCTAACTCAGAGAAGAATGCTTCTTTTCTTCGCTTCTTCAGCACTGATGGATATTACAACAGAAAAAAAAAAACCAGAATTAGAAATCAAGAATGAGACAGAGGATATACAAAGACTCATGCCAAAGATCAAAATCTTAATCCTACCTTTAGCGTCTTTAGCCCTTGAAGGATTCAAACCCTTCTGAGCATGTTGAGCTTTGTTTACCTATTTATAAACACAAAGCTTTAAAATCAGAAGAATCACTCCCAAAGAATAATAAACAACCCAAAAACGACATAGAACCAAACTTACAGCATTAAAAAGCTTGACCACTATGATTCGACGAGTTCATGAGGAGAGGAAAAAATTTAATCAGTATCAAAAACCAAACAACAACAAATATCTCAAAAAGAGAGAGTTAACACTGAAGCAACAATACCTCCTTTAGTGGCAACACCAATAAGAATCTTTTCATTAGCATCCAAATAACTTCCAGGTTTAACATGTCCTTTCTCAGCAATCTTAGAAAAAAACAATTATTACACTAAATCATCATCACAAGCATGACACAAACAAGAACACAAAAGAACAGTGAATACAAACTCATACCAAATGTTTAGCCTTTTTAGCTTGACCTTTAGCTTTCTTCTCAGCATCTTCTTCAGCTAGCTTCTCTGCAATAAGATGCTTATGTGCTGATAAAACTGGACCCTGTTACACAAACAACACTATTCAACACTTTACCTCAAAATCAAACTCCAAAAACTACAGTTTCCAAAGAATCCAGTTCAAAAATCTCACCAACACATCATCTCCTTTAGTCTTCTTCATAATAGCTTTAAAAGCGATTTTAAAAGCATTACATCCATCAGTAGCAAACTTAGTAACTCCAGATTCAATCTCTCCATGATCTTCACCATCTGAATGTTCATCTCTATCTGAATCATCATCTTCTTCAATTACATCGTAATTTGGTCCCATGTTCGCATCAGAGAAGATCTTCTCACGAATTGTTACTTCTGGTTGCTTCTTCGCTTCATCTTCTTCTTCTTCATCGGAATTGTATTCTCGTGCTCTCTTCTGAAAAAGCTTTTGATTCTTCATTGTAACTTTAAACCTATCGGAAGTAGAAGGTTTCGATTTTAACTTTTTGTTCCTCGCCGCTTTGGTACCTTTCTTTACGCCGACTCTTCTCTTTCTATTACCTCTCTCTGCCATTGCTGTGTGAGCTTCTTCTCCGGTAGACATGGTTCCGTCGATAAATTTGAGTTTTCACGGCGGCGAGAGTTTTTGTGAGAGAGGAGAGACGAGAGATAGGGTTTTGTAATCCCTTTCTTTTAAACCTTGCTTTGACGAGAAAAAATGTTCTCGGATTTTGATTTCCGGTTAAGTTCGGTTTATTAAATGGATTCTGGTTTGAATTTGACATTTGGGTTTGGGTTCATGATCCCAATTTTGTACACCAACTCACATATTCTACTATATGGCTGCAAATAGTTGTACAATTGAAAAGGTTGAAGAAGTTGGAAAATACAAATTTTCACCAGTTGAGTTAAAAATGTTAAAAAAATTGTTCAACCCATTTAATCTAAAAAGTTGAAAAATTGAATAATTTATAATGGAAAAATGTCAAGTTTGTTCATCCACAACTTTAAACCTTGCTTTGACGAGAACAAATGTTCTCGGATTTTGATTTCCGGTTAAGTTCAGTTTATTAAATGGATTCTGGTTTGAATTTGACATTTGGGTTTGGGTTCATGATCCCAATTTTGTACACCAACTCGCATATTCGACTATATGGCTGCAAATGGTTGTACAATTGAAGAGATTGAAGAAGTTAGAAAATATCAATTTTCATCGGTTGAGTTAAAAATATTGCAAATATTGTTCAATCCATTCAACCTAAAAAAGTTGAAAAGTTAAATAATTTATAATAGAAAAATGTTCAGTTTGTTCATTCACAATTTTGGAGTTGAATGATGTTGTTCAGCTTCATATTTTCAAACTATTTAATTTTGTGCAACCATTTGTAGTCTATGTATTAACGAGTAGCACTTGTCGAGTTATTTGTACAAACAGATATAGTCTATGTAATTGAAAAAACTATCAAAACAAAAATATCTAGAAAAAAAACTATATAGTAAAAGAACTTTTCTATGGTTTCTATGATATGATTGGAGTTTAAAAACATAATAATAATCAATTTAGATAGTCATGTATTACTTCCGTGGTAATTAGATCAACACGTAATTGCTTAGGCCTGGGCATTCGGTTAACCATTCGGTTTCGGTCCGGTTGTGTTCGGTTTCGGTTAGTATGGATATAGTAATAACCATTCGGCTATTTTAGAAATTTCGGTTCGGTTCGGTTGTTAACCGATAATTCCTGTGAATTCAAACTCATCCTGCTAACGTTAAAAGTCTTAAATTAAAACACCAAGTGAGTAAAAGGGAAAGAAACAAAACATCCAAGTCTAACTACGAACTAAGTTGAGATAAGAGAAGAAGGTCATAGTTCTAAGTTTGAAAAACAAAACAAAAGAAAATCTAAGTTTAAGCCGAGATAAGAGTGAGAGAAGAAGTAAAACAAAGTTGATCGGACCAAAGCTTTGCCATTCCTATGAAGTATAGATTGCTGAGTCCTATTGTGTCCTCCAAAGCAACGAAGTAACCAAACATCTATTCAATTGAACATATAAGATAAACATATAATCATATATCATATGTATAGATTCGGTTTTTCGGATTTATTTCGGTTATCGGTTAGTAACCGAAACCGAACCGAATCCGAATTTTGAGACATATAATAACCAATCGGTTATTTGAAGATAACCGAAACCGAACCGATTCGGTTAATCGGTTCGGTTAATCGGTTATTGGTTATTTTGGCCAGGCCTAAATTGCTTCATAAAAAGTTTCTATCAATATTCACTATGAATAGTTTGGTAAATATCATGAGATTTATGCATACTATATAATAAGTAAAAAGTATAAAGACCAATTTGGTATTTCTAGAAGCCATAAGCTCTAAGGAAAAATTGTGGTTCTTTGAAATGGACACACCAACCTCCAATTCATCATACATATTAAACAAGTCAAATGGAAGAGACAACGAGTATATATTTCAAATTTTTTATAATTTAGAATATTTTTAGATACTATAGCTAAAATTTAATAATTGAATTTTTGACTCTACACATTCAGTTTTCCACAACACCAAAATAGCATTTTGGATTTTTCTCTTTCTTCTACTAATCCTCACATGTTCTCTCTTTTGAGTTTATAATTAATTTGTTTAATTTGAGGAAATATATATAATTATCTTTTTTTGGTAATGAATATATATAATTATCTAATAGTGAATATTATTATCATAATACCATATATACATATTTATATTAATTACACAACATATTTACCAATTACGCTTTCACATTACTAACTGTTTTTTATGTTTTCTGTTGATTACAAAATTGATTAGTTACATCTGTATCTTTAGTTTTGTGACTATAAATATTTAGCTGTAATTTTTTTTGTTATGGCTGTAGATTTGTTTGTTGTATTATTTTGACGGTAGAAATTAAAATGTTGAAAAGGTTAAAATTCTGTATTTAAAAAGAAAAATTTTTACGTCCAAAAACATAATTAAGAAAATGTGTTAGCTGTGAATTAAAAAAAAGAACTTAAATAGCTAATATTTATGATATTTTTTGCTTTGTAAAGTTTCTTTTAGGCACTTGCCAATCAAACTTTATGAGCATGGCTAGTGTTGATGTGTTTAGTGAAACATTTATTTTAAATCTTGTTTAAAGCTTTATGATGACTCTAGAGAAATCAATTACATAGGCTTTGTCTCTTTGTTTTCTAGTATCAATCAGTTACAAGCTTTGTTCATTTGAATTTGTATTTTACTACGTAATTTTTAAGAGGGAATTTCAAAAATACTTCTTTTTATATACTATAGTTGTTGACCCGCGCTGCGCGCGGGAGATTTATAAAATTTTTATTTTATTTTTTGTTATATTATTATTTTTCGTTGTTTTTTTTTGTTTTGCATTGTTTGTTTTGTTGGCATTTTACTGTTGTTATTTTTTGTTATTCTATTTTTCATATCGATTATTTTCTCAATTTTATAGTAATTTAGTATTTGAAATGTTTATCATCATTTGGTATTCGTCAGAGGTCGATGGAAGGTTTATGCGGTATTCTCTCTTTTTACTAAGTATGTGATTAGAGAGTAAGTTTCCGGTGTCTGGGTTTGATATATTCTAGGATCTGACTTGTTTCCCGTTTTTTCCTATCTTCGAACCCGTGTATTCCGGCCAATGATTTTGAAATCGGTATCGTTGTTGCAGATGTGTCGCTCTTGTAAACGATGGTTTTAGAAAATGTTTTTCCTGTTCCGTTTAATTATCCAGTCTCAAACTCGTGTATCCCACATTTTTATGATTCCTTTAACCGGTTTGATTGTTATGTGTTGGACCTCAGGCCCATGCTTTTTTAGATTTTGTATTTTGATTATTGTAGAAATGTTGGACATGAAGCCCATATTTTTTTGGATTTAGTAAAAAGAAAAATGATGATGTGGTGGATGATGCGGCGCTGACGTGGCGGAAAGAGAAGAGAGGAAAGGTAACTTTATATATATAGATTTTTTTAAACAATACTCTGTCTTTAAATTACATAAAAAGTCACTAAAATTTTGGAACTCATCAAAAAATGTGTGTAATTACCCTTATATGTGTATAAGAGTATATATATCTTATAAACACCATACAAATAAATTTTAAAACCTTTTAAAACCATTGAAAAACTTTATAAAACTCTTTAAAAATCTTGTAAACCCCGTTGAATACCTTTTAAAACCTTATAAGTATTTTTGATTGAGTCTTCAAGTAGTTGTTATGATTTAGAAGTACGCTATAAATCATATAAACTATGTTCCAAATGTTTTTTAACTTATTTTTTTGAAAATAGATAGATGAAAATAATATTTTTGAAAAAGTGTACACTAAAAGGGGCATTTTTCAATAATATCTTTTTATTTAATATGTGATACAAATTTTCTAATAAAAAACAAATTCTTAAATTTCCTAAATTTTATTAACATATTTAAAATATTTAAAATATTTATGTTTTCCTTTGAAATGGACACACCAACTTCCAACCAATCATATTATATTAAATACTGTAAGTCAAAAAAGAACCAACAACGAATATATACATATTTAAAATATACAGATTTGCTTAAATAAGTTTAACATGTGCAATTTCTCTTAAATCTTCCTTAAAAATACATTAAAAGATTTGAAGTACAGATCACATAGCCGTCGTGTTAGCTCTCTCTTCATCGTAGTTATCGTCGCTGATTCACCCAAGACAACAACAACAACATCACAAGAAAGCTTCCTCTTTTATAGGAACCCTCTCCTTCTCTGTTTCTCTCTGTCTCTCCTTTTCCACTTATATTGTCATTTTCACAACGCCAACTCTCTTCTCCCCATTCGTCGCTCTGTTCTGGAATTGAAGAATCAGGTAAACGATCCCCACAGATCTCTGTCTCTATCATTTGATCTTATTCATGCTCATAATGGATCTGACTCTTAATGAGATTGGTCCCTTGTTGGCTTTTGACACCATTTTGTAGATTGATTAGAGCTATGGCCAATACAGCAGATTCTGTGAATCCGAAAGGTAAACAACACTCTTTCAATGGTGAAACTGAAGTTGAAAGATCAAAACTTTTTGAGTATATGAATGTGTTTGGTTGATGAACAACAGATGTTTGCATTGTGGGTGTTGCACGTACTCCAATGGGTGGCTTTCTTGGATCTCTTTCATCTTTACCTGCAACAAAGCTTGGATCTTTAGCTATTGCAGGTTAATAACAGATCTTTCTTCTGTGTAAAGTCTTTAGCTTTATGTATAATTGACGTGCCCTGTGTTGGTTTTTTATTGTTTCAGCTGCTTTGAAGAGAGCTAATGTTGATCCAGCTCTTGTTCAAGAAGTTGTGTTTGGGAATGTTCTTAGTGCTAATTTGGGTCAAGCTCCTGCTCGTCAGGCTGCTTTAGGTGCAGGGATCCCTAACTCTGTTATCTGTACCACTGTCAACAAGGTTTGTGCATCAGGCATGAAAGGTGAGAACTTTGGGACATTTGGGGCTCTGTTTTTTAGAGTTTGGATTTGATTCTTATAACAATGTTTTCCGGGCTTGTTGGGTGGTTTTCAGCGGTAATGATTGCTGCTCAGAGTATTCAGTTAGGGATCAATGATGTAGTTGTGGCTGGTGGCATGGAAAGCATGTCTAATACACCAAAATATTTGGCAGAAGCGAGGTAATGATGTGGTTTTACGCAATCGTTTGGTCTTTTTACTCTATGCATCATTGTTTCTTATTCAAATTTTTGATGCAGGAAAGGATCTCGATTTGGTCATGATTCTGTAGTAGATGGAATGCTAAAGGATGGACTATGGGATGTCTATAACGACTGTGGGATGGGAAGTTGTGCAGAATTGTGCGCTGAGAAGTTTCAGATAACGAGGGAACAGCAAGTAAGTTTGCTCCTTAATGATATTTGGATTAACAATCATTGATGTAATTTGTAGATACTCTGCATAGACCTTCTGTATTATTTCTTGTTCTTGATGCCTTGATAATTAGCCATGATAGTTTACCACTAACTCCGAAATTGTGAACTACATTGAAATGGTTAGTTAGGCTCATTGTTTATGGTTAACTCATTGATTAGTGTCTTTCTGGTGATTATGCAGGATGACTATGCAGTTCAGAGTTTTGAGCGTGGTATTGCTGCCCAGGAAGCTGGGGCCTTCACATGGGAAATTGTCCCGGTTAGTATATTTTTGTATCGTTTGGGTTAGTGCGTTATACTTGGTGAATATACACTAAGGTAATTGGTTATGCAGGTTGAAGTTTCTGGAGGAAGAGGTAGGCCATCAACCATTGTTGACAAGGACGAAGGTCTTGGAAAGGTGATTTTTATCCCCTTTTGGTTGTAGATTATGCATTAATACTCCAGTGAACCTGAGCTTCTGCTTTTTCATGTTACATTCACCTGTTGCATACATTTTTTCTTTTCTAGTGGAACTAAGGTAAACCGTAGAGTATTTCTATCGGCTACTTTTGAAGAAACTTTATCCATGTTCTTGTTTGCCAGTCATAAATATTTAGTCATGTGTATCTTTTGCTGTATGAAGCATTACACATTACGAAATGAACCTAATGGTTAGATAACTCCATAAAATGAGATCTAATATATTATGATTTGCTTCGTGCATGATGTCTCAATGTCTCAGTTTGATGCTGCCAAGTTGAGGAAACTCCGTCCTAGTTTCAAGGAGAATGGAGGCACTGTTACAGCTGGAAATGCATCTAGCATAAGGTCCTTTTCCCATATGTTCATCTATATATATTCTCATCGCTTTGAGAACCAATGGTGACCTATGAAATAAATCCTGGTTGGACTTGCAACTTCTCTTTTTCTAAGTAAAATTTGCCTCTTTTCAACAGTGATGGTGCAGCTGCTCTTGTCCTCGTGAGTGGAGCGAAGGCGCTTCAGCTAGGACTTCAAGTACTCGCAAAAATTAAAGGTTATGGTGATGCAGCTCAGGTATGTTACTTATAATCTCGCCTTTCCTTCTCAAATACAACAATTTTTTTATATCAATTCAATTCACTAAGTGAAATCCAAACCCTGCAGGAACCGGAGTTTTTCACTACTGCTCCTGCTCTTGCGATACCAAAAGCTATTGCACATGCTGGTTTGGAATCTTCTCAAGTTGATTACTATGAGATTAATGAAGCATTTGCAGTAAGGAAACTGGACTTCTTCCCCTAAAGAATAGGCAACCATTTTTGATGGCTAATTTTTGCTAAACTGCCTATTTTCCCAGGTTGTAGCACTAGCTAATCAAAAGCTACTTGCGATTAGTCCGGTAAGTCTCTTGAAAACATCATCTTCTCAGTCAACTTACTCAAGTGGTTTCATAAACATTACTCTTCGCCTTAACAGGAGAAGGTGAATGTAAATGGAGGAGCTGTCTCTTTAGGACATCCTCTAGGCTGCAGTGGCGCCCGTATTCTAATCACATTGCTTGGGATACTCAAGAAGAGAAACGGAAAGTACGGTGTGGGTGGAGTGTGCAACGGAGGCGGAGGTGCTTCTGCTCTTGTTCTTGAACTCCTTTGATGCATTATGAATTTAGGTAACGCACATTCTGTGTAGTTTTTATAGATCGACGACATAAAATGCAAGAAAGGAACTCATGATCTCGTCCCATGTGTGTGTTTTCTTTCCCTTAATTGGTAAACTGAATAGATGGCTCTGTCTCTCTTCCAACTACCAAGAGTCACCAACTGCAATTTAAGTTTTATGTAAGTTGGTCTCTCAATAAAAGAGAGTGATTGTCAATGTTGTTAAGTCTATTTATTTATATGAACTCGGGTTCTATTTTTTTCCTTACTTGTGACGGTCAGTTCTAAATTATGGACCATTTTATCGTAGTTAATGATTTATCCTTGTGTACTGCTGGAAAATATCATACAGAAGAGATTTGGCATTTGATGGGTAAATTTAAGTACACATTGTGTATGTATGACAAGAAAAAACAAAATTGGTCATTTATGTAAAGGCACAAGCCTCTGCACACTTGACTCAGCATGGCACTTTGAGAAAAAAAGAGACTTTAAGAGACTCAATGAATATTTTCTCTATACAAAAGCTTTCTACTCGGAGCTCACTCTGTGATATCTCTTCCAAAAAGTGTACTGATTGCCTTCCCGGGATCGCTTTGTTTGATAAGAGACTCACCGACTAGAACCTAATAACAGAAAAAGAAAATCACATGGGAGCTAGGACTAAGTGAATTTATCAGCATTTTGAGCAATGTTATCTTTAACCATAAAGTATGTGAAATCTTACTGCTTTGACGCCAGCTTCTTGTACAAAGGCGATATCTTCGGGAGTGAATAACCCAGATTCTCCCACCACCTATCGTTTAAAGACAAGCTTGAAGTGAGGTGTGTGTATGCATTGTAAGGTGGTAAAACAAACAGGGGATGTGAATACTACTTACGAGGATGTCTTTTTGACGGATCAGTTCGCCACGCTCTCCTTCAAGTAGCTTCTTTGTGATACCAAGATCTACCTCAAATGTTTCTGAAAGATAGGGTTGTAAAACGGATTATGAAGGATTGTATCTCTAACTTTGAAGAAGGTCTTGTTCAAGCGTTTACCAAGGTTACGGTTATTGATGCCAATGAGCTCGACTCCTTCAATTGCAAGAACACGATCCATCTCCCTTTCATCATGAACCTAGTGGCAAGTAGTAACCAAGAAAATCAGAAAAAAAGTTAATTGGGATTACGAAGATGCAGAAGCATTAGTTGAAGCATATATGAAAGTGGCTCCCTGAGGATACACATACAAACCTCCACAAGTGTAGCCATTCCAAGTATTTTGCAAATCTTAATCATGTATTTGATGTCAAGGTCAGGTAACACAGAAGCGATCAACAGAACTGCATCTGCGCCCTTGCTTCTACCATAGTATATCTGCCATGCCTCAACAATGAACTCTTTCAATAGCAAAGGGCACTGCATTGTTTGTGACAAGACATCAGAACTTTGTCAAACTTTGCCTGTCAGCGACAAAGTATCCGAACAGGATTATACAGAGAAACCAGAAAAAGGAGAAAGCAAGAACCTTTACACCAGCTTCCCTTATAGCTTGCAGGTTCTCATAGCTTCCCTATATGAAAACAGATTATGGCTACATTACGAACAAGTACTCCATACTTAAGTTGATCTCAAAGATCTTTACAGCATTACCTTGAAGTATTTGTCATCTGTCAAAACACTTAGACATGCTGCTCCACCCTTCTCATAAGCTTGTGCAATTTCTACCTAAGATATCAAGCCTTCAGATTCTTTCAATCCTAAAACTTATTCACCTAGACAGGACGAGAAGAAAGAGCTGAATCCTTACAGGGTTAAAATCTTCCCTTATGATTCCTTTGCTTGGTGAAGCTTTCTTAACCTCAGCTATTAAACCAGGCAACCCAGTTCTTTGATGAGCAGATCTAAGAGCACCAATGAAGTCTATAGCAGGAGGAACATTATCAAGAGCCTTCTTCAAAGTATAAAGTGGCTTTCTCTCTTTCATCTATAAATATAGCCACCTTCAAAACCAAACCAACTCAAAACATAAAAGAACAAAACCAAAGAACCACAGTCTCCTAATACCTGAGCAACTTCTTTATCCTTGTGCCAAACAATCTCTTCCAAGATATTACGAGGCGTATTGCCCTCGTTCTGTAGGCGAAACTCAAAAGGTCCAACGTAATGCAAAGGAGGTCCAGTAGGTGGTCTTCTCCTTATCCTAATACCCTGACTCTCAACTACTTCATTCTGATACATATTCACTTCTTGCTCACTAACCTTGACATCACTCACTTTACCCTCCAATACTGAATCAGAACCTTCTGTGATTCCAGACTAACCAAAAAAACAAACACAAAGCTACTTCATTTCTCAATACAATTCACATTTACTTTCTTCAATACATCACAGATTCTCAAGTTCACAAGTCTTCAATGTTCCAAAAACGTTTCCAAGATTCTGACTTTTTTTAATCCCAACTCCAGAAGCTAAGAAAGCTATTCATACCAACTCAATTCCATAGATTCAGCTTAAGAAATTTACGAAATCGCAACTAAGAAGATGAAAAATGAAACCTTTTGAGCACGAAGAGGAACGCAAGAAGAGGGTTTGGTAAGTCTATTGTGGAGGTTAAACGTAGAGAGCCGCCGTGTAATAGCGGAGGAGGGAAAGGGCTGAAGAGTTAAACAAAGTCCTTCCATTTTGAAAAAGTCTTCTCCGTTAGCTTTCTCGCCGGCGAAGCTATTTGTTGAGTGGAGGAGATAGTTTTGCATAGTACCCAAACGCCGCATCACATAAAGATTTTTTTTTTTTTTTTGTTATTTTTGTATTTTACTATTGGTTGCATAACTTTTTTTTTTCTTTTAATTACAAAAACACATCATAATAATAACAAATAATTCAATTTATTCAACGAATATAATAAAAATCCAACATATTTGATACTTTGATACTATAGAATGGTTTTGATTTTTGATTTTGATCATGACAGTTTGAGAGTTTTCAAATGATTTTGGGTCATTCATTTTAAATTTAAAATTTTATAATAATAGAATCTCGTATCATTTTCGAAAAATCATCAAAATGGGTTTATGGATTTTAATTAAAAAAAAATAAACACTCTCAAAATCTAGATTCCCTAGTATTTTTGATTGGATAATTAAATAGATTTTGAAAAAAAAAAGCTAAAAACCATCATTATAACTAGAACTATTCAAGGCCAATATCTAAAAAATTAAAAACCAAAATCCAAAATCTAAATACCAATTTAAAAACTACCAACATTCATGTTCCATAAGGATGGGCAAAAAAACCTAACCGAAATAATTGGTTTAGTTTGTATATGGTTAAGTCTAAATATCCATTTGGTTTTTATTTTGATTAAACTTTTGGTTTATGGGGCAAAGAGAAAAAGCCTTTGAGAGGCCCAAAACAAATAACGCTCTCTCCTCTCTCTTCCCAACCCTAGCCGCAAACCGCTCGAGGGGGAAGTACCATCGACGGCTTCGTTGGTGTGTGTGTGGCTTCTCCCTCCTCCCCTTGTCTTTCTTTCTTGTAGAGCTTAGTGATGGTGGGTGATTGTCATATCTGAGCTTCGGTGATGGGCGATTCTTTCCTCCGACGGCGGTGGTGTGGTGTCTTTTTCACTGAGGTAGCGGCAACTCCAATCGGACGGCGGAGAGTCCCGCTGCGCATGACCCTGGTTAACGCTGGCGGTTGTATCGGAAACTCTCCTTGGCTCAACCGTCCCTTTGGTTGGTGTGGCTACGGCGGAAGTCAGTGAAGAATCGGTGGGTTCGTTGTTCAGTCACGGTGGTTAACGGTAGGTTTTTTCGAATCCTTTATTGGCCCCTTCGGGTTTTGGTTCTGGTTTGTTTGTTTGAGCCAAGCATCTGCCGGATCCGCTGTTTGTGGTTTCCACCGGTCCGGTTTGGATTGTTTTGGATCAGAGGACGTCGAGGCTTCTAGTTTGGTCGGCGGGGATAGATTCCCGGTTGTCGGATTGCTAGGCATAGGATCTGACTTCTCGGAACCGGTTGTCGGAAAGTTGGGTATTCCGGGAGGAGTGTAGCAGGTTGGTGAGTCAGCAGTTTGGTTCAATGGTGGGTTTCGGATTCTCTCATCGGAGTACCTCATCCCCCCGACCTTGCCGCAAAGCCGTGCTCCTCGAATTCACCGGTGTTAGTGCCCTAACTCTCTGCCTCCGGTTATACAGCAAGATCCGATCCACTGACCTTTTTTCCGGCGAGTTTTCCGATTTCTTTTTTGGGTAACCGTTGTTCTTTTATGTAATCCGAATCCGCCCCTTTAAGGGCCCAGCCCATTAAGAGGTTTTATTATTAAAAAAAAAAAAAAAAAATTGGTTTATGTCTGGTGTGGTTAAAATCAGTAAAATTGAATGGTTATTTTTTTGAATATTTTTTTTTGAATAGTTATATATAATTATATTTTCCGTTTCATACTTTAATCTTAATAATTTTTTTTCTATAAATTATCATTAAACATTTTTATTGTACTTATAGTTATTGATCTTTTAGTCATTACAAATTCTAACTCTAAGTTATATTCCCTAACCTATATATATTCAAAATTGCTTGTGGATTTTTTCTTTTTCTTTTTTTTCTCTTTGTCTTTATATATTATTCTCAGTTGATCAACCATTATAAAAATTAAATACAAGTTGTATTTTAAGGGTTTTCTTCCAATAGCTTTTAAATATTAAAACTTGAATTTAAATTATAAATTTGAGTTTCTTTTTGTTTTAATCGCTGGTTGAACTTTATTAAGAAAATGCAAGAGATCCAAAATCCTAAAATAAATGAACAAACTCAAACATACCAAAGCAAATAAACCAACAATTGCCCAAAGAGACGAAGACAAGAAAATCAACCCTCTCTTCTATCTTTGTCAATACGATCCTGTAGCCAACCTGCCCCGTGGACTCCACAGCGACCATTCACCGATCTCACGTTCAATATCTTTGAGCTCAGGTGTAAGCGATCAGTGTCACTCAAGAAATCTTATATGACGACTATCTTCCACATATGCTGCCGCCAAGACCTCACCGTGCAGATCTTGTAGACTAAATTTAGATTCTATTTATGTTATTTATATTTAATTTTATGCTTATTTTTTATTTATGTGTCAATTTATATTTATGGAATAACTGTTAAAAATTTGAACCAAACCAAAACGGAACCAAATCGTGATACATATGGTTTTTGTATGATTTTATTATTACAAAACCAAAAAAACCTTAAACCGAACGCCTACCCCTAGCTTCAGTGGCTACCTACAACAATTACTCGCATGTATTTACTAACCACATTTTACTACGTACTTTTTTCAAGGAATTATCATGAATTTAGAGGCGTTGAGGCTGCAAATGAAGCACCAGTTATGATCTCAAATTAGTTAAAAATAACATTATGTGATCTTATAATGTATGTTTTTTGTTTTCATTACACAAAATATATTTTTTAAGATTGTAATTTTGTTTATGCATATAAATTTAAATCTTTCACAGATTATGTACACTATTTTTTGTTCACATCATTATCACAGTTTTTTTTAGTTAACATTATTATCACTTTTTCTTTAATCATCTGAAATGCATTCATTTTACAAAAATCTGTAATGATATGTATAAATGTTGTCAAACCCAAAGCACTCAACATAAACCTAAAACATTGAGTGATAACGGTTTCGAACCATTGTCTAAAATTTTCTACCCGATGTGGGACGTTATACATATATGTTTTTTCTTTTATCGATTGAGTAATATACGTCCGTTTTCAAAAATTCAAATTGCTACATATGCGAAAAAAAATTTGTATTTTTATTATACTTATATTTTATGTAATAATTTAAATTTTAAAACTAATAAGATCATATAAAGATATTGGAGAGTATTCAATTTATTAGGGAGACATTTTAGGAAATTTTGTTAAATGTAATAAATATTAGTTTCTAATTTTGCGATTTTGGTTTATCTTAAAAATTTGTTATTTATTTAAATGGCAAGGATTTATTATGAAAATAATACAAAATAAAAGGTTATTTTCCAAAAAGTATTTCAAAAATGTTAATATAGATATACTATTGATTTTTAGTCTTAGAAAATATACGGGATTAAACCCAATATTTAGAAGAAGAAAAAAAAAGAAATAATATTTTATGACTTAGTTGTATCTAAATCTAGTACTCTACTACTACCAAAAATTAAAAAAATGTTAGCCAAATTACATCAATCAAGAAACAAAACTCGGGAAAGATCTTGGATGGTAACAAAGCACTTGACAAATTTTATATATAAATGTTATACGACAATTTTCATGCATCAAAATTATTTAATTTAATATTAATGTGTTCAAAAAATATATATGTTTGTGTGTGTTTCTTTGTTTCCACTATACTAATGCTTTCATGTGCTATATTACTATCTTTATTTGAATACTTAATTCTTTTCTTCAATGATTATTTAATTTGATATTAGTATGTTCAAAAATATATATTTGTGTGTGTTCCTTTGTTCCACTATAGTAATGCTTTCATGTGCTATATTACTATCTTTATTTGAATACTTAATTATTTTCTTCAATGTAATAATTTCATTGGCATCTTCGTTGATTTGTCGGAGTCGACGACGTTGGTATAGTGGATAGTTATTGACTAATGGAGTTTACACTTTACAGGTGTTTGGTATAAGAGACAAAACTGTAAAAGGTCATCAATGAAGGCACGAATCTTTGCTTATTGTTTTTAATGTGAATTAAGGCACGATTAATTAGATGAACTTTGTATTTGTGAATGCAAATAAAAACACACAGAAATGTAATTTAGTAATCTGGTCAAATAAAATAAGGTTAAACTAAACTGACTATATATTTTTATTGTAATTCAGTCAACATGATAAACGAAATACAAATATTAACAATTATATTCTAAATAGGATGGTTAATTTTAATTATATGAGGTGTTTTAATCGTTGTTTGTTACCTATTGCAAAACAATTCTCTACTTAATAGCCTATTTTTGAGTTTTTAGTTTAATTCTTGGCCCACAAAAACAATTAGCATCCTCGTTGATAATCCCACTAGAAGTGGTCTAAGAACTTAAGACACACTTGTGAGAAATCATTCTACGTTAAGTTTTCCTTAAATTTTTGTTTGATGTTTTATAATGGTTCAAAACTGATATAACGTATATAAAACTAAATTTCATATTTGAGTTTAGTATTAATTAGTTAAATTCAATTTGAGATTTTTTTTTTTTAATGTACTTTTCAGTTTAGAGATATGATAAGTATTAGTCCCTCTAACCTAGATTATAACTCGATGTGGTTTCTTGATAATCTTTTCCTATCAAAATATATTGGACCACTTTAGTTAATATTAACCATCCTATTTAGAATATAATTGTTAATATTTGTATTTCGTTTATCATGTTGACTGAATTACAATAAAAATATATAGTCAGTTTAGTTTAACCTTATTTTATTTGACCAAATTACTAAATTACATTTTTGTGTGTTTTTATTTGCATTCACAAATACAAAGTTCTTCTAATTAATCGTGCCTTAATTCACATTAAAAACAATAAGCAAAGATTCGTGCCTTCATTGATGACCTTTTACAAACAACGATTAAAACACGTTAATTTAACCATAAACAATTTTTAAGAGTTTTTCTAGTGGAGTTGGTCTTAGTTAGTTTCTCCATTAAGCCGAAATATCTACACACATTTATAATGCCGTCATATGCATGATAAAAAGAGAAAGGTATATCACATAGTATGGATATACAGATCGTGTTTTACATGGAAGTTAATATTTGATATTTGATAGAGAAAATAGTCAATCAAGAAGAAACGTAACACTATACTTAGCACATACAAAAGCATGCATAACATACGTAGAGTAATAAACTTCTTTAAACGAAGACTCAAAATGGATAATTATGGCGGCACAGTTTTTGTTTGGGAGCAATGATCCTTGAGACTTCGAGAAGGAGGGAAGAGAGGAGCAAAGACAAACATCTGAGGGATGCAATCAGCATCGAGACCCATGAAGGCATGGCAGCAAGAAGGACCAACGTTCCCGAACTTTCCATTTGTTATCGACCGGAATATTTCGGGTACACAGTCTGGAATTACTTCTAGTGATGACCAACAGTCTACTTGGAATGGTTGTGGTGTAGGCAAAGGTTGTGGTGAAGGTATGGGTTGTGGTGGTGAAGGCAAGGGTTGAGAGGTGGAGAATATGGCCATGCATACAAATGAAAGAAGGAAGAAGAACTTGTTGATCCACATTTTTGATAAGAGAACTTGGAATGGTTAATTGAGTTTTTACATTTGATATGGATTTGATAGTAGTCAGGGATTGGATTTATATAAGATGAAACATATGAGGAAGTTTTTAAGTTGGATATTGTGAGATGTTTTCATTGTGAGGAATTTTGGAGGCACTCTTGGGATGACCCTAAATAAAGGTTGATGGTTTGTTAAGTTGTCTTATTTTTTTTTTGTGGTGATTATGATATTATATATACAAAAACATATAGTAAAATCTCTATTATTTATTGTGTAATATATTAATAAACACTAGAAAATTAGAATTTTGTTAGTCTTGAATCGGACCAATGTAAAAGTTAACATAATTAAATAAGATAATAAGATATATAATAAGTAATTTTTAGAACGTACATTTTGTGTTTTTTACTCTTATTATCATGCTGAACAAATTATTATTTTATTTTTGTCAAAAAAATAACTATAATCAGCTCAAATGAGTCCATGCGAAAGACAATTGTTTATATACTTGACTAAATACGATATGGAACGAGTTTGCCGAGCCAAATAATCCGCTTTTACAGAATTAAATTATTATCGCTAATTAAAGAATTGAGTTAATGTTAAAACTTAAAATTATGAAACTTCTAGATATGGTCCGAACATACATTAATGTGTCCTGCATTATTCACCAGATTCCAATTCATATAGTCCACATGCATCCCTACTTTGTTTATTTTTTTTGTTTCTTACACCTTAAGCTTTTTTGTATCTCTCTGTTCTTATTTGTTTTTGTTTCTAGAATAATTAAAAAGTCGCATGTGACCTTCTCAGTGAGAGCAAAGGAACTGAATCATAAAGATAAGCACCGCCACGCACGCACGATACATGTGAACGTAATCGCATTCGTGGATACCATATCTATCGTCTTCCACAGTTACACTCTATTCATATAATTTAGTGATTATAGTGCCATTGTGTATGTTAATGAATGGACAAGAATACAAAGACAAGACCATTTTCAATAGGTTTTCTTAGATTTGTTTAGGTCGTCAAAAATATTACTATTAATTTAATATTCCAAAAATACTATTAAAATTTTTAATTTTATAAAAATGCGACAAAGTAGGGAGTATTATAGAAAATACCACTTTTTGATTACCATTTTTTCATTTTGCTATTTCTTAGATTTTGTTCCAAATATGCCATTTTTTACAAACAATAAACTAAATATTTAGAATTATTTTTCGTAAATTACATATTTAATAATAAATTATACCGTACAAGAAGAAAGAACCAAATCCAGTCAAACATCACACATATATATATATATATATATATATATATATTTGTGTTTTTTATAAAAGAAAATAGCAAATTTGAACTTTTTTTTGACAAAATGGCAAAACCTATAAATGCCATCAAAATCAGTCATTTTCTCATAATTGATCCACTCAAGAATTGATTTTAAGGATTTAGTACTTAAATAAATTTATATTTAGAATATAGATTTTAAAGAAGATGGTGTATTCAAAGTGAAATTTCAAAATCCACTGTTATTCAAACATGAAATTTAAAAAGTCTCATGAAATCCACTGTTATTCAACTAATGATTTCAAAATCCACCTTAAAATTCACTGTTATTGAAAACAATTTGTGGATTTGGCTTTTAATGATTTTGAAAGATTTCAGAGGATTTGGAAGGATTTCCTTAGTTTAAAATACATAAATCCAAAATCCATGGTTTTTGGTGAGATTTGTAAGGATTTTACAAAAGTAATATGAACTTCCCTAAAATCATCAAAATCATTTAAAAACCTAATAAAACTCAAATCTCTTAAAATTCCATTTTGAATACCCCCTCTAGTTTTAAAAGTTTAAATTCTAATTTTAGTTTCATATAATTTTTTAAAAACCAAAATTTAAATGGCAATTTTAAAACAACATGGTATTTTTTAAAACCCAAAAGCTTAAATGGGGGGGGGGGGGTGTATTCAATTTTATATTTTTGGTGATTTTAAATAAGTTGATATGATTTTTTGTAAAATTCTTTCAAATATCACCTAAAACCATGAGATTTGAATTTCTGAATTTCTAACGAAAAGAATCCTCCAAAATCCGGGAGAGTCCTTTAAAAATTTAAAAACCAAATCCTCAAAACGTTTTCAATAACATTAGATTTTAAACTATATTTTCAAATCACTAGTTCAATTACATTGGATTTCATAAGATTTTAAATTAGGTTTTCAAATCACTATTTCAAAAACATTAGATTTCAGAAGATTTTTTTAAAATTCATGATTCAATAACATGAGATTCGTTGGTTTTCCCGTCAAATATTTTTGACAATTGACCTTTTTACTTATCATTTTTGTTTTGCTTTCTTATGATATCTTTATCAAATCTTATCCTAGTCAATTAATATGACAGCTACTAATGTATAGAAAAAGAAGTGAATCAAAATTAATAATTTAATGAAGATTTTTTTCTTAATACGTAATCATAATCAGATTAGTTTTCAAAACTGTCACAATTTAAAACAAATAAAATAAAAACAAGAAAGAAATAGTTTTATAATTGGTAACGTATCTCCATTAATTTTATATTTTTCTTCTTTTTCTTTTCCAAGAATGGAACGTTTCGTAAGAAAAATATTAATTTACTTTCTATATTTTAATAAACCGTGGTCCCTTGACACCTACCACATTCACCTATAAGTACGTATACGCAATATCAAGAAGCAACCATAGCCACTAAACTTTATCATTCTCTCTAAAAAGATTAATCTCTTTGGTCTGAAGAAGAAGATGTGTCCTGTCGAGAACAAATGGGTCAAGGTAAAAATCCAATCTTTCAATTTAGATAATACAATTATGATCTTCGATTCTTGATTTTTGATTATGTTTTCTAATCAGATGGGTCAAAAAGGAGCTGGTCCTGGACCAAGAAGCTCACATGCCATGACCATCGTTGGGAACAAAGTTTACTGTTTTGGTGGTGAGCTTAAGCCAACGATTCATATCGACAACGATCTTTACGTTTTCGATCTCCAGAATCAAGAATGGTCTATAGCTGCTGCAACAGGGGAGGCTCCTTTCCCCTGTTTTGGAGTCTCCATGGTCACGATCGGTTCAACGATCTATGTGTACGGTGGCCGTGACGATCAGAGGAAGTACAACGGTTTGTATTCTTTTGACACTTTGACTAATGAGTGGAAGATGTTGTCTCCTGTTGAAGAAGGGCTTCCTGGTCGTAGCTACCATTCAATGGCTTGTGATGATCGTAAAGTTTATGTCTTTGGTGGTGTTACTGCTAAAGGACGTGTGAATACGCTTCATGCTTATGATGTTGTTGATAAGAAATGGGTTGAGTATCCTGCAGCTGGGGAGGCTTGTAAAGGAAGAGGAGCACCAGGGCTTGTTGTTGTGGAAGGGAAGATTTGGGTTTTGTTTGGGTTTGATGGTAATGAATTGGGTGATATTCATTGTTTTGATCTTGCTAGTGTGCAATGGAAGGCTGTGGAGACTACCGGGGATGTACCGTCGGCGAGGAGTGTGTTTCCTGCGGTTTCTTATGGGAAATACATTGTCATATATGGTGGGGAAGAAGAGCCGCATGAGCTTATGCATATGGGAGCTGGGAAGATGTGTGGTGAGGTTTACAAGCTTGATACTGAGACGTTAGTGTGGGAGAGGATTGTGTGTGGGAATGAGGAGGAGAAACCGAGCCAACGAGGTTGGTGTGCGTTTACTAAAGCTGTTAAGGATGGTGAGGAAGGTTTGTTGGTTCATGGTGGGAATTGTCCTACTAATGAACGGCTTGATGATTTGGTGTTTTGGGGTTTCTCTCATCTTAATGTTAATTAATGTGTTGTTGGTTTGTGTTCTTTGTGTTGTAAACTGTTTAGTTTGTGTGTGTGTTGTTGTGTTAAGGAGTTTGTGTGGTGATATGTAACTTCTAAGTGTCTGAGTTATGTGTTGAAAACTTTGCTACATATTCCAAATAATTTATCATGTTTGGTGTTTAGATTTGTAACATTCCTATCATTCCTGCTTCCTCTACTTCAATTTGGGTGTAACAATCTTTTTATCATTTCTTGGTTTACGATTTTGGGATAGTGTGATTCATGGGGTTATAAGAAACAAATGAGTTAAAATATATGTACATAGGCTAAAACAACAAGAATTATAATCTGAAACTGAATTAATCCACAAAGAAAAATCAGATAAACGCTATTAGTGACATTTTAATAGAAGTTTGAAAGCCTTTTTATATGGGAATTTTTGAGAGAACACTCTTGTAATACATCTTTTTGAAGGTGGCACGATTAGCTTAGGCTTTGAATGGATGTTGAGAGCGAAAGGGATTAAACCATTAGCGGATTAGACCACACTATACATTTTAAGGTGGATTATAATCCGATGTAGAGCAAATTTATATTTACGTAAAGCGGTATGTAGTTGATCCGCAGTATAATTCTTATATTTTTCTCGGTTCGTACTATTATTTACTATAATTTATGAATGATAAACAATAACAATGATTAAATTTCTCGGATTAATATTAAATCATAGTACATAGAAATTAAAATAAAATAGAATAATGCCCACCAACAAACATTTCGGATCATGCTTATCCAAAAATAAATGATAGAAAAGAAGAACTAAAAAATACAACAAATACTTTATAGGAACAGGGTATTCACTTAGAACCATAGAACGATGGAAAGCTTCAACGACCACATTGCCCTTTTTGTTATTGCACCTCTGTAATTCAGAAGTAAGGAAAACAAAATCACTCTCGATATTAGTTTTCCAGATACAGTAGTTTCCCAAGTATAAAACCGTATTGGAAATATTTATTTTTATACACGTAATACTCTATCCACTAATCCGGTCAGTCTTTTGTTTTTGTTTTTTTTTGTCATCAACAAAAGAAATCAGCTCAAGAGAGCCAATTTGGAGAATAATTGTTTACATACTTAAGAATAAACAGAATGGTACGAACATTTCGTGCCAAAGAATCTCCTTTTATATACTTTTCGAAATATTACCACACTGCGTAACTTAAATTTAAATTATTTTCCAATTAATCATGGAAACTTACCCGGATTAGTTTTGTCAACGGCGAGCAAACAGGTCCATCGGCGAAAACTGAAGAGACCATGATGGTTAGTAGCAAAAACAGTTCCAAGATAGACAACTTTAGCAAAGCCATGTTTGTTTTTTTTTTTTTTTTATATAAATTTTTATTTCTTGTTTGAAGAGAGTTTTTGATGATCTTATATACATGTGAGTTATTTTGATTCCCTGACCTAATCCCCTTATTTTGCAGCTTTTAATATGGCAACCAGGCCTCCTTAACCATTTTTTTCCACAGTAAACTATTATTTAAACAGGACGTATCATCACATGATGTAATATCGATTTGATATTACTTGTTTTATAACATACTAGCAGTTGACCCGCGCTGCGCGCGGGAGGTTTATAATTTTTTGTTAATTTTTTATTCATATTGTGATATTTTATTTATTTTTAATTGATTTTCAAAACATATTATAGTTATTTTCTCTTGAATTATTATCTTTCAATATTTAAATTTGGATTAAAAGCATTTTCTTATTGATCATATTATAAACTAATATTTCATTTTCAGTTTTATCTTTTCTCTTTAAAATTTTATATATACAATTACATAAATGTTGTTTTTATTCTACCATAAATTTAAAATTTACTTACATTCTTAAACTCAGTAACACATTTAAAATTTTAAACTATGATCAATTTAAAATGAAAGTTGAATTATATTATTACCACTAACTAATAAAAAATGAAAGTATTTCTTATTTAACATTTCATTTATTCACATAATTTATTTTTATTTATATAAATTTTCTATTAATTAAATAAGTAGTATAAATATGCACTAAATAAATGTTTAAATTTATTTTAATGTAAAAAAAGATGTGGCTTAGGTGGATGATTAGGTGGCATCATGAGAGAGAGAAAAAGCTAACTTTATATATATAGATAATTGAGATCATATAATAAGATATATTTAGAATGCTACTTGGTCATCGTTGAATCTCCGAAAATAACTTCAAAACTAAATAATAAGCAGTTTACTAATATTAATATGTCCATTAGTTAACATGTAGCTATTACAAGCCCAAGTTTTTAATAGTTAAGTAGAAGATGGTTGTTTTGGTTTGAGTGTGACTGTGTAGTAGATTAATTAATAGACTCGAGGTTAGCTAGAAACATGAACTTTGAAAAACAAAACCAATTTGGTTTTTGTTAGCTAATCAACTTTAAAACTTTTACGTATTTCCAAATTCATATATTTGTTAAAAATAAGTGAAGGAATGGATACACCCTCTAGAGATTCATAATTCTTTAGACCATCTTTAGTAGAGCCCCTCATGTGAAGTACTAAAATTAAATTAAAAATACAATTAATGTTAAACTAATCAAATCAACCCATTAACAACTTTAAACAAAATTCTATTTCTACTAGGAAACCCTTATCAAGGGTACTTAATCATTAAGATAATATATTTATATTAAATTTAAATAAATTTGTAAATAATAAAAATTAACAATACAAGAATTTAACTTACCTATATTACATTAAAAAGAAAGAAAAGTATTTTACATAATTCAGAAATTACAAACATAATATATAAAATTGAAAAAGACGTACATACATAAAATGCAATAGAATAAATGGGATACTAGAAAAGAAAAGAACTCGGTTCTATTGTTGAGTGGCACTGAATTTTTGCCAGATATGCTTAACCAGTATTTTTTAGACGTTCATGCATTTTCGTATCACATACGTCATTTCGATGCCCATCATATTAGTGAGATTTGTTGGCATATCTGTAGAAACGATAAATCGACATGAGAAGTTCTGCTTCCTTCTCCCTGATAGAATTCCGATGGATCGTTGAAACTGTACTCATGTCGTTCGTCTTCAGCAATCATGTTGTGGAATATGATACATGCTCTCATTATCTTCCCAATTTTTTTCTAATCCCAAAAAAGCGCGAGATTCTCGACGATTCCAAATCGAGTTTGCAGAACTCCAAATGCATGCCTACATCTTTTCGGCATGATTCTTGATATTGAGCAAAGAGTTGTGCTTTCTGACCTTGTGGAAGTGTAATTGATTGGATGAAAGTTGTCCATTTGGGATAGATACCGTCGGTGAGATAGTACGCCGTTTTGTATTGCCGTTCATTGACAACGTAGGTAACTCTCGGAGCTCGACCCTCTACTATATCATCAAACACTGGTGAGCGGTCCAAAACATTGATATCATTTAATGTACCTGGAAGTCCAAAAAATACGTGCCAAATCCATAAATCTTGCATGCCACTGCCTCTAGTACGATTGCATGTTTTCCAGATCCACGTGAATATTGTCCTTTCCATGCCGATGGTCAATTCTTCCACTTCCAATGCATACAATCTATGCTCCCTACCATTTTGGGAAACCCGCGATGTTCTCAAATATTCAATAATCGTTGGAGGTCTTCTGATGTAGGCCTTCGGATGTACTCATCTCCAAAATAAGTTATTACTTCGTGAACAAAAGCTTCAAGGCATTTGTGCGCAGTGGTTTCAGCAAGTCGTTGATATTCATCGACCGCATCTGCCACACATCCGTATTCCATCATCCGAATAGCTGCCGTACATTTTTGAAGTGCGGAAAGACTGAGCCTTCCAATAGCATCTCGTCATTGGCCTTAGTGTAAGTCAGAGATTCACTAAAGTAATCATTCCATAACCGAATGTGCCCTCCTTCACGGTCTCTATTAACATAAGCTCTTCTTAAATTTGGAGCTGGTTGATCTCCCACATGAGTGTGCTTGTGCTGAATCTCCTCCAAAATATTGTTAACTTCTTCTTCTACCATTTCATCAACATCTTCATCAGAACTCCAATTTGATTTCTTGTTGTTTTAAGGTTTACTGGTTTTAGGTTTTGCGAATATAATTTTGTAAAGGTCTGAGATTTTGGAAAAAAGGTTATTTGCTAATTGAAATTTGGGTTTTATAAAAGAGTTGTTTTGGTTTTGGTGTTACAAACCATAGGTTTTGTGATTGTGGCTACTGATTGTTTAGATGAAGAAGTGAGAATCTGTTTTGTGATTGTTTATAGAAAGAAGCTTTGTAAAATTAAAAAAAACTGAGATTAAAGGGACTTTATAAAATCATAGATGACAAAGGGAAGAACAAGGTACTGATTTTTTAGAGAAAGAAGCTTGATAAAATATAAAAACTGAGATTAAAAGGAGTTTACAAGAAGAAGAAAATATATGGGAATGAGAGGAAACAGACTCGATGACAATGATAAAATACAGACTCAATGACTCAATAATATAGACTCGATTTTGGACAATACTACTTGACACTACAAACCAAATTATTTCACGAGTTCTTATAAAAAAATCTCCACCTTGAGTACACAATAAACCAGCTTCACGGGTTACCAACACAACACTCCACCAACAATACACAAGAAGACAATGTCACGGGTTACCAACACTACATTCTACCTTCAGCAAAAAGACAGCTTCACGGGTTACCAACACACAACTCCAACAACAACATGTCTCTTCACCAGAAAACCTGAACCCTAAACCCTAAACACTAATCCCTAATGTTGTCTAAAGAATAAATAAATTATCAATTATTTAAACAGTTTTCATGATGACTAATCTTTGAGAAATTTTGGTAAAGAAGTTGGTAGTTACTGATACAAATAGAAGCGTTGGTTTGGTCTATGTGAATTTCGGTTGATTGAGAAAAAATAATAAATTTGGTTTCGGAATTTGACTTAACCGGATCTACGTCATAAATCTTCGTATCGGGCCTATAGACTTTGAACAAAGAAAGAAAAGCAAAATTTTTAAAATTTTAAATTAATGGAGCTTATTGGGCCTAAACTATATGAAACCCATATAATAACCTGTAGATGAGAAAACGCTAGTTTCCTCCTATACGTTTGCGTTTGTTTTTTTTTTTCCCATAAGTTTTTTCCTTTTATATATAACAAGTGTTGCAAGAGTTACAACAGTGGAAACTTCCACTTACACATCTCGACCCTTTCTAAACTTACAACCATGGATTATATCTAACACATCCATTTTCTAGACTACAACGGTTTTGTTCCAAACTTAAGTTCTGCTTTAAACTAAGATTTCAGACCATATTGAACATCTTGGATATGCAGTTTCCAAAAAGAATTCAGATCATATCCACTTATTCAATCCCTTGGCTGCATTCATAGAAACTAAGCAACATGCCCAAAAAGTGTTGACAGAATCGGTAGTGTCAAAGCTTTAACGTTTCTTTGGAGGTTTCAGAATCCCTCCCTTACTATGCTCCTGAACCTTTTGTTTTTGCTTCGTTTGTTCTGCCTCATTCTTCCTAACTTCTGAGATTTTGCGCTTTTGAGATTCCTCCATTTCATGGCTCTTTACAGTTTCTCCTTCTTCATGCCTCCTTGAACATTCTCCAACTTCAAACTTCCTTGAAACTCGTGAATTGATCTCATACTCAGTTGTTGGAGTAATGTTAGATCCAGATGAAGCTTGATTTCTTCTCCAAGGAGCCTGTGGAATTGGAACAGCAAAATTCTGCAACTTTCCATCACTTGAAGGATGAAAATACGGACTTGCTGCTGCAATTTCATTTGAATTCAGAGGTGGCGTATCAACTCTTGGAGGTTGAGAAATTGGTGCAGGGAAGGAAACATCAGAATTCCGAGATTGTGAATTCATGTCCGACCTATGGATTTCATCATGCAAAGCAATTCTTTCCCTCCCATCAGTTATATGATTTGTAGCACCAGTGTTTGTGACAGGTAAAGGTTGACGATAAGGACAATAATTCCTGTGATGAGTGAACCTCAAAAAACTGCTACAAATTCTTCTTAGACGCTCATACTGAAATCGGATTACTGCACTCTCACCCGAATCAAACCTGACTCTTCGAAAAAACCTTAGACTGGCAGTTATGCCAAATCTAATTCTAACTCTGATATACGCTACCTGAGTAGTAGTGGCTTCATGAAAGTCCATTTCAATAACTTCACCAAGCACTTGAGCTATCTCCATAACAGTTTCTTCACCAACATAAGCAAGAGGGATTCCTCTCATTTGCACCCAAAGATCTATTGATGTGAGGAAATCCAGGTCAGGATGGTCCTCCCACCTCTGAAAGGCCACAAACCAATTGTTGAATATCCATGGTTCCCTTCTTTGCACTGATATAAGATCCATCTCAGAACGGAAGAGAAATTGAACAAAGGTACCGTCTAGAACCCTTCCATGGACTCTTGAAGTTAAACCCCATGTTCTTGATAGTGAAGAAATGACAGTAAAGAGGTTTTGAGCTCTTGGGTTAAGGGGCCTAGCAATCAAGCTTAGCCTATTACGAGCCTCAGCAACAGCATATGCTTCATGTGGGATAAACAACTCTGGATCATCCCTACCTAAAGCCATATTCTGTATCTCCGTTTGCGTTTGTTGATATTGCCAAAAACAAAAAAAGTCACTTTTTTTTTTTAATCGACGAAAATGCAGAACCGTCAGATCGAAGAATCATCTGACGAATCAACGGCTGATCTTTGTATAATTATAGCCGTTAGGCAACGCAATTTATCAAGACGCATCGATATATTTGTTGCAAAACGAAATTTACACATAATTGTTTTTTTCTTCTTTTCCCAATTTCTCTCTCTCTCTCTCTCTCTCTCTCTCTCTCTTCT